GCATTGCATGTGTTTGGATCGGACGTTAATCCAAACACGAAAAATGTGAGACGTTTCATATTCATAGTGATGAGACGTGTCACGTTTCTTAGTCTTCATTGCCTTTGATCTCTCATGATAAGGTAATGGACTTGTGTCTTTGTTTTGTGTATTTATTGAATTTGTGCAAGTTGGATCCTTGGCCATCATGCATAAAAAATGCTTGGTTGATGGTTTTGGATCCAATAGCCCCTCTCCTTTGATGTTTTGAGATGATAAGGAGAGGGTGCAGTACAAATATATCCTTGGGAGACCCTCCCATTTTCTCTGTTTGAGCTCTGTTGCAGAATGGTGTTACAGCACACCAGTGGCCGGCAGTGCCCACCCTTGGCCGGCAGATGGTCGGTAGCAGCTTCTAATGGCCAGCAGGCCATTGGTGCATTCCTCAGTTGTGAGTTGGTAAGTTGGAGCAGAGAGTTCTTGGAGACACCCTGCAAGTAGAGCCTCTCAAGAGCAAATCGGAAGGCGTTTCGGGGCGGCAACCGAGAGCATGCATTCTTCATTACTCAAGGCAGAGCTAAGGCAGCCTAGCTTACATGTTTTGCATGCTTAGTTGGTTTTGTAATTTAGCTAATTTGTCAATTAGTTAAAGTGTTGCAATAATTAGTAAATAGTTTGCTAGTTATTCAATTTGGTTGTGTAATAATTAGTCTAATTAGTTTAATTAGATTAGTTTGATTAGTTTAGCTTAGCTTAGCTTAGCTTATTTATTTGGACCCTCCTTCGAGAGGGCACAATGTTGTAATAAGGTTGCGTGTGTGTGTGCATGTCTTCCAATCCCACTTCTTTCTCCCTTTTATTTAACCGCTTTCGATGGTTAGTTTTAGGGCACGTTTTGATTAGCATACCTTATGCTTTGCATGTTTGCATCATTCATTTGTGTTGCATGCACCGGGCTCGGCGCATCATTCAAACTGCATTGTATTTCAATACCTATTTGAATACGTGTATCCAATTGTTGCATTTCATATGCCATCTTAGATAGCCGAGCCTATTTAGTTGCATTATTACATTAGGCATCTAATATAGTTAGGATCATGCATGATTTCTAACTAGCTTTTATTTTGGCTCGGAGTACACTGTAAGTGTTACACTTTAGCATACTTGCATGAGTGTGAGTGTTGCCATGATAGCATGGATGCCATGAGGCTATTTGCTTAAGTGCTTAACTGCATGAATGTCTGTGGGTGAAGGCTTGATTGTCTGAATTGGAACAACTCGATGATTGTGAGTTTTAAGCCCACTTTGCAGAGTGGCAAAATCATGTTTTTAAGCCCACTTGAGGGTGGCAAATCCGCGCTTTAGCCCACTTGTGAGTGGCACTTTCAAACCATTTTTGAAAAACAAACATGAGTTGCTTTGTTTCAATTCCCGTGATTGAGCCTATACTTGTATGTTGTGTGCATCATGTAGTAAAATTAGCTAATAACTGGATAAGAACACATAGTTTATAAAACAACATATCATGGTAGTAGAGGCTGATCCTTTGATCGGGGGAGCGGGGGTGCTCATTTTAGGACTTTCTCCTCTCGTACCCAAGTTCCCGAGCCAATGCAACTTTGGTGATGATAGACACGTGGCCTTAGGCACGAGTTAGAATTTCCTAAATTTTCCAAAACAAATTATTTAGGTGGCGACTCTATAATCTAGCAAAGCAGTCCATGTTTGGCGCTTTTTATTCCAAATCGATTTTTCAAAACGATTTGCTGGATTTGGACTCTTTGGTGTTTATCAGTCTCACATTGTACTTTGTGAGATTAGATTCAGAACCGTGACAGGAGTCCGAACTGTAGTAAGACCAATTCGCGCCTTCTCCGAAAGGGGGGGCGCGCGAAGAAAGTCGGGTCTACGCTAGGTCAGGATGTGACTTATGCTCAATTGTACATTTATGATCCTGATTCACCTTTAGAAGTTCAAAATCGTAGAAATCCTCACTTACGAAGAGATGTTCTCAAAACTATTCAAGATAGTTTGTTGCAAGTTAATGCATTTGTAGACAAATTTCGCCAAGCTCATGCAATTTTGAATCAATTAGCTTTCACTGGACAAAATTTACTTGCTCATCTTCACTACAGTTCAGCAACAAACCGACGACGGTATAACCTATCAACTGCTGATGAGATTGCAATTGTAATACAAGGTGATGGAACCGAGGTTACTAGAATGAGAGATATTATTTTACATCTATATGGAAATAATGAACTGATGCAAATTAATGAATGTCACCTAGCGTATTTGCCATTGCATTATGTTTTATTGTTCCCGTATGGTGAGCTCAGATGGGAACCTGAGTTGAATTGGTGGGATGTTAAACATGATCGGCCTTTAACTGATCGACTTACTCAAATGAATTTTTATAGTTATCGTTTGTTTGAGCGACCTACAGAGTATTCAACAATTTTGAGAGATGGAAAACTATTCTGAGAGTTTTTGGTAGATGCTTGGGCTGCAATTGAGCAAAATCGGTTAACGTACTACAAGCTTAATCAAAGAAAAATTCGGGCTGAACTTTACCAAGATTTAAGCGATATCGATCCAAATGACTTGCGACCTAATCAAATTGGTCAAAGTTTTATTTTGTTATCTTCATTTACTAGTAGTCCTAGACATATGTTTGAAATCTTTCAAGATTCAATGGCTATCACGCGATACAACTAACACCCATATATTTTTCTCACCATGATTGCAAATCCCAATTGGCCAGAAATTACTTCAGCATTATTACCATACTAGAAATCTATTGATCGTCCTGATTTGATTGCCCGTGTTTTTGAGCTAAAAAGAAAGTGTTTGATGAAGGAGATAGAGACAAACAAAGTGTTCGGTAATAGAGTTGCACATGTTTTTACAATTGAATTCCAAAAACGAGGCCTACCACATATACATGCGTTTCTCTTTTTTAAAGGTCCAGACAAAATTCAAACATGTGCTCAAGTAGACAAATTAGTTTGTGCAAAATTCCCAGATCTAAAAGATGATCCTACACGTTTTGAATCTGTCAAGTGTTGCATGGTACATGGACCATGTGGTGCTCGAAATCCCCAAGAACCATGTATGGAAAATGGTAGATGCACTAAGAAATACCCTCGAGCCTTTGCAAAATCAACAACTATGGACCAAAATGGATATCCAATTTATCGTCGTCGCAATAGTGGTCAAGTATATACTGTGAGAGGACAGGAAGTTGATAACAGGGATATGATACCATACAATGGATATCTTTCTAAACTGTTCAACTATCATATAAATGTAGAAGTTTGTGCTGGAGTGAGATGTGTTAAGTATATACATAAGTACATTTACAAGGGTTATGATCGCACAACAATGATTTTGGGATTGATTAATGAGATATAACAATATCTTGATGTGATGTATATTGGACCACCAGAAGCTGCTTGGCGAATATTCAGTCATCATTTGCATGTAGAGATGCCAACAGTTGTTCGCTTGGCACTTCATATACTTGGAATGCATCGTGTTCTTGTCAATCCTAATGACTCATTGAAAATGATTCTTTCTAGAGCGGCGCAACAAAAATTAACTCTTACTGGTTTTTTTTATTGTTGTGCTTCCAATGAAAATGCATGCTAATTCACTTACCAAGAATTTTCGCAACATTTTGTTTGGCTCAAGTTAGAACATAGATGGAAATCAAGAGAACATGGATATGCAATTGGTATAATGTACTTTGCTAGCCCTAACTGTGGTGAAAAATTTTATTTGCATTTGTTGTTAACTGTTGTCAAAGGGCCAAGATCATTTCAATGTTTACGTACAGTTAACAATGTTTTGCATGAGACGTTTAAATCAGCATGTGTTGCAAGAATACTCTTAGAAGATGATAAAGAATGGATACAGTGCCTGAAAGAGGTTGCAGTTATGAAAACTGGATTTCAATTGAGGAGATTGTTTTGTATTATTTTGACCTAGTGTTTTCTACTACAACCACATGCGTTATGGAATCAATTTTCAATGCATATCTGTGATGATTCGTACATTGTTTGCTATTTGTAACCCAACTGAGGCTCAAATTGAAGATTATGGTTTGTATCTTTTGAAGCATTTAGGAAAGAGTTTAATTGACTTCCCGCCCATGCCACAACCTATAGTAAATTGGAGTGCAACAGTTGGTAACCGATTGATATTTGAACATCAACAACTACAGAATGAGGCACAGTAGGCAGATGTGCAAATTACTATTGATTGCCTCAATAATGGACAACGATCTGCTTATAACGCAATCACTTCTTTAGTCTTTGAAAGTAAAAGGACTATTTTCTTTTTGAATGGTGGTGTCGAAATGGCGAAAACATTTTTGTATAATACGATTGTATTAAAATGTCGCAGCCTTGGCCATATTGTTGTTACCATGGCTTCATCTGGAATTGCATCGTCGCTATTAGTTGGAGGCCGCACTGCACATTCAACATTTTCCATTCCATTGTATGTCTTGGAAAATTCAGTTTGTGGGTTTAGCAAGCAATCATTATAGGCTAAATTGTTTAGAGAAACAAAACTCATAATTTGGGATGAAGTTTCTATACAACATAGACATTGTGTTGAGGCGGTTGATCGCACATTTCGAGATATTTGTGATTGTGAAAAGCCATTTGAGGGTATCACTGTTGTTCTTGGTGGAGACTTTCGACAAATCTTACTAGTTACAACCAAAGGAGTTTGTGAACAAATTGCGAATGCATCATTGAGACACTTTGTTTTGTGGAAGGATCTACATGTTTTATCTTTAGATTTGAATATGCGCTTGAATCATGCAAACCTTGGAAATGCTATTTTTGCAAAATTCTTGACGGAGGTAATACTCATTCGAACTTTTTCCTTATCAAATGGTGCTTCAAATTGAGGATACTTTGATTATACCATTTTTTTAATTTATTTTATTTTATTTATTAGGTTGGAACCAATCCGCAAGAAATTGTTAAAATTCCATCGACAATACACAAATGCCAGGATCCAAAGGAATTACTCTCAGCAGTTTATCCACAATTGGATGTGGCAGATACATCAACCCATCATTCTTAACTGAACGTACAATTCTTTCTACACGAAATGATGATGTTAGTGCTATCAATATTGCTACGTTGAATATTTTTCCAGGGAACACATATACGTATCTTGTTGCAGATAAGATGGCTGAAGATGATGAAATTGATCATTCCATTACAAACAGATATCCTAATGAGTTTTTAAATTCATTGGATCCTCCTAGGCTACCAGCTTTTATGGTAAAGTTGAAAGTGAGTTGTCCTATAATGTTATTAAGAAACATTACACCGAAAGATAGACTCTGTAATGGCACAAAATTGATGATATCAATGTGCGACACTTGCATAATTGAAGCTCGAATTTTAACTAGAGAGAAGTTTGGCAATTTGACATTTATACCAAGGATATCATTGACTCCGTCTTCTGCAGAAATGCCTTTCTGAATGACAAGACGTTAATTTCCAGTTCGATTGGCATACGCCTTGACCATTAATAAATCTCAAGGACAATCTGTGAAATTTGTTGGGGTTGATTTGCGTACACCTGTTTTTAGTCATGGGCAACTATACACGACATTATCCAGATGCACATTTTTCGATCATATAAGTATCCTCCTTCCTAATGATGAGCCAAATTCCACTACAAATATTGTTTACCTTGAAGTTTTGTTATGAAGACCTTTCGGAAATTGATGAGGCGTTCGTAAGAATTGTGGGAAAGAATAAATTTGAAGACATTATCAAACACATTTTTGTAAAGTATACACATTTTGTAAAGCAGACGATAGCTATGACCCACTTTTTGTAAAGCTTTCCACCGATATGGACTTTGTTGCATTTCAAATATTTTTATGAAGCCTTTTATTCCCCTATATTTTTTCATTTCCAGTATAGCTAAGTTTGGTTTTAAGTGTATTTAATATAATGTTTGTTTGGATTATATAGTGGCAAATCATATTTTATTTTTTTGCATCCAGTTAATTTAATGGCTTTATTTTTGTCTAAAGATGCACACGTTAAATTGGGACATCTCTGTATGAGTGCTTTTAGGTGTGTTTGATTTCTCATCTACAACGTGTTTCTTTCCCAGAACATGATTCATGCTTCTTTGTACCAATGAAATGTATCTAAGGTCAGCTGTTTCTCATGCTTCTTTTGGAAAATTAGTATTGTTTGACATTATTTTTCTTTTGAAACTCCATACATGTTGTTTTCCTTTTGTACTTATAAATGCACAATTTATAGATTGTGCTAGGGCAGATTTGAGCAATATATTTTTGGTACCTATTAATTTATTTAAACTATTTTTTGTTTTTATTGCAATATCTGTTTGTAGCATTTCATTACACCATGTTAACCCATTAAAGGTATCTAGATTTTTTAATAGAGTAATTGGCTTCCATTGTGAATGAAATTGTGTAAGGTTTTTTTTAGTTCATGAAATTTTTTAAGATTTAATATTATCATTTCTAAGATTTAATATTGTCATTTCCTATTGCATAACATTTGTTTAGGGTGCACTGCAATATGTCATATGGTTGCTTGGTTTATTTATTACTTCCAATTTTTTTTTAATTTTATTTATTTATTTATTATTTTTTTAAAAAGTTTAATAGGGGAGCTCTGTTTTTGGTTAGTTTACTTTTTGGTTGTGGTTTTTGTTTTTGTTTTTTTGGGACAAGTTTGTTTGGGTTTACTCGCAATGTTTATGAAAGAGATCATGTTTTAATTACACTTAAAAGTCATGTGTTCAACCCTTTACTTGATTGGTATATTCAATTACAACTCTATGCTTTGACATGTGTCTTGGATATTGTTGACTTGGTTAAATGGATTTGATATAACATGAACTGGAAATTGACATTTTATTAGGACGTCTCTATTTTATTTTATCAATGAAAATAAAACACAACATAACCATAGTATATTGCCTTTGTTGTCCTATTGTTCTTTCTACTTGGGAGTTGATTATTTAAAAAATATGGTTCAGTTGGCAAGGGAAACATGTGTGCTCATTTTTTTTCAAGTGCTTCGAAGAAGGTAGTAAAACTAGAGGAGGAGAATATGCTAAGATCAAGGGAGCGGGACTATGTTAAAATTAGAGGAGGAAAATATGTTAAGATCAGTTGATGGCTATTAAACACAACATAACCATAGTATATTGCCTTTGTTGTCCTATTGTTCTTTCTACTTGGGAGTTGATTATTTAAAAAATATGGTTCAGTTGGCAAGGGAAACATGTGTGCTCATTTTTTTTCAAGTGCTTCGAAGAAGGTAGTAAAACTAGAGGAGGGGAATATGCTAAGATCAAGGGAGCGGGACTATGTTAAGATTAGAGGAGGAAAATATGTTAAGATCAGTTGATGGCTATTGGATGACTTTAAACTTTTTAATTTGGCTATTTCTTAAAGCAACAATTTCTATTCTAAAGTTGTCTATAGTTGATGTAATTGATGATTTTCACATTAATTTGACACACTAGATTAGTTGTAGGAATTATTTTTTTTACAAAATTAAATTTCACCATTTAAGCAGTTTTTCAGAAGCGGTTTTATTGCTACATTATTGGGATGCTATGCATTTAGTTTTTCAATTTACAATTGACTACAAAATTCACCATTTTAGGGTGACGATTCGTGTGTTTTGTTATATAGATTGTCTATTTTTTGTTGAGGTGTCACTACTTTCTTCAGATTGATTAGAAAATTATTCTTTGAGATTTAATTTTTGTATCTTCATATGTAAACAATTTCTATAGACTACTATTTGTCAGGTTATACTTTGCATTTGGCCTAATCCTTGTTGTCTGTTTTATGTTATTTCAATCAAATATTTGTAGTTTGAGGTACTGTAACACTCACCAATGTATCAGGTGTTAGCCACGATCTAATGGTAAGAGTGCTGACTTGATTTTTTATTTTGAATCAATTTATTACAATTGAGTTATTACTTTGGACATGTAAGTTGATTTATTATTTCGGACATATAAGTTGTCACTACTTTGGATATGTCAGTTGTCTTTCTTTTTTTTTTTCCTTTTTGTATACACTTTTTCCCCTCCCATTTTCTTCTAATAAAATCATGCTCTCTTTTATTTTCATAGGATGATGGAGATTTGCATCAAACTATAAATATGGGCTCTCTTTACTCATCTTTTTATTTCATTGAGAAAATTACAAATCGGTGAGTTTTTAAATATTTTGTGAAGTTATCACCTATTTATAAGGGGTTGTTTGGGATGTCCTAAATAAATGCACTTTTGTCTTTTTGGACTAAAAAGTTGAGAAAAAAAGATGGATGTTTGGGTTAACTTTTTATCTTTTTATGCAAAAATGTGTAATAAAAAATTGTATAAATAAGTGTATAGGAGAAATAAGCGTAATAAGCTGTACGGCACCTTTTTCTGGGCAGAGAGTAGGAGATAAGGAAATGATTGCCTCTTTCGCGGACAACTATTTGGAGTGTGTTGTTCGCCCCGTGGGGTCTACCACAAGTCCCATTTTGATAATCTGAACCGTTCAATATGTAGAACTCGTTAAGTATTATATGTCTGTAAAAAATCACATTGATCGGATATCGAAATCACATTGATCGAATTAGTTTTTGTTCACCAATTAGCTATAACACCATCTTTTTTTTATACAAAATTGATTTGATCATATAGTTAGCGATATTCGATCAATGTGATTTTTTTACAAGTATATAGTACTTAACGAGTTCTACATATTGAACGGTTCAGATTATTAAAATGTGACCCGTGGTCGCCCCCATGAGCCGAATAACACAGTCTAAATGGTTACCTGCGAAGGAGGCAATCATTTCTAGACCAGTACAACAGACCAATCACGCGGATAGCCCATCACTTCAGCAAAAATTTGAGTTGTATTTTTTTATGTATAAATTTATGTTTTTTGTTTTTTGTTTTTTTGTGAATAGTGATAACTTTTTAGCTTTTTAAGTAACTTTTTAACTTTTTGTTTTTTTCAAGACATGTCAAACCAGGCCTAATTTTTCTTATTTAATCTAGTCTTCTTACTATACATTTTCTTTGAAGTATTGATACTAGCAATACTTGATGGCTATTAGATGACTTTAAAATCGTTTTAATTTGACTATTTTGTAAAGCAACAATTTCTATTCTATAGTTGATGTAATTGATGATTTTCACATTAATTTGACAAACTAGATGAGTTGCAGGAATTATTTTTTTTTTTTACCATTTAAGCGGTTTTTCATAAGCGGTTTTAAGAAAAATATATTGCTATATTGTTGAAATGCTATGGCATAGAGTTGATTTCTTCTTTATGATATGATGCACTTAGTTTTTCAATGCTTTCCATATCTTGATTGAAAAATCATTTCAAAATATTTGATTTTCGTATCTTAATATGTAAACAATTTCTAAAGACTACTATTTGCGAGGTGATAATATTTATTTCTGTGTATTATATTGCTTCAATCAGATATTTGTGATTCGGGGTGCTATGACACTCACCAATGTATCAGGTGTTAGTCACAAACTAATAGTAAGAGTGCTGACTTGAACTTTTATCAGGTGCTATAGACTCTACAAATTTTAACATGATACGTATAAATTACAACTATATTTTAATTTTAATATTAGTTACATCATGTCTTTAGGCACATGCATACACTAGTAAAAAGATATGACACATCCCAAGTCACGAATTCCCATTAAAAAAAAATTAAATCATGGACACCCCAAAAGTCAACAATTTAGTTAACATTATATGCATTTATAATATTTTATTACCTAATTTTTCATAAAAATTTAAAAAATTATTTCGAGCATACATATTTTTTTACCTATATTTTAATTAAAAAACAAAAAAAAATATACTTATATTACACCTCCCGACTAAAAATACTCGGAACAAAGTGCCACAACACAAACCACCTCTCTCTCTCTCGTTGTCGTCGGTTGCTAGGGTTTCATACTTCATCTTCTCAGAGTGACCGGATCGGAGGTTTTGTTGATTTTATTGTTGGGATGCTATGGCATAGAGTTGATTTCTTCTTCATGATATGATGCATTTAGTTTTTCAATGCTTTCCGTATCTTGATTGGAAAATTATTTCAAAATATTTGATTTCCGTATCTTAATTTGTAAACAATTTCTAAAGACTACTATTTGCGAGGTGATAATATTTATTTCTGTGTATTATATTGCTTCAATCAGATATTTGTGATTCGGGGTACTATGACACTCACCAATGTATCAGGTGTTAGTCACAAACTAATAGTAAGAGTGCTGACTTGAACTTTTATCAGGTGCTACAGACTCTACAAATTTTAACATGATACGTATAAATTACAACTATATTTTAATTTTAATATTAGTTACATCATGTCTTTAGGCACGTGCATACACTAGTAAAAAGATATGACACATCCCAAGTCACGAATTCCCATTAAAAAAAAATTAAATCATGCACATCCCAAAAGTCAACAATTTAGTTAGCATTATATGCATTTATAATATTTTATTACCTAATTTTTCATAAAAATTCAAAAAATTATTTCGAACATACATATTTTTTTACCTATATTTTAATTAAAAAGACAAAAAAAAAAAATATACTTATATTACACCTCCCGACTAAAAATACTCGGAACGAAGTGCCACAACACAAACCACCTCTCTCTCTCGTTGTCGTCGGTTGCTAGGGTTTCATACTTCATCTTCTCAGAGTGACCGGATCGGAGGTTTTGTTGATTTTAGGGTTTATTCGTTTGACGCATCGATCATGAAGAATACACTGGCGAAATCGGCTGCCGCGAAGAAGACTCCTCCAGCCAAACCGGCCTCCGCGAAGAAGACTCCACCGGCCAAATCGGCCGCCGCGAAGAAGACACCACCGTCCAGAAAATCCACCGTCAAAACCCCTCCGAATCCGCCACCCGAGCCCGAGACAGAATCGTCTACGCCCAAAACCACCGACACCAAAGCCGCCTCCGCCTCTAAAGCGAAGCTAGCGAAGACCGAAGATACTACGCCCATCTACGCCGCTGATTCAGTGCCCGAACAACCCGGTAAAGTTCGACTCTTTGCTTAGCCTTATCGTTTCTCAATTATTTGTGTTTATGCTAATATCGCCGTGAAGTGATTTTTATTTATTTTTAATTGAATTTGTGTTTTTAGCAATACTAATAAGTAATTCATGTATGATTGCATTTACTTTTCCTTGTTTTTGATTCTGAATTAGGGTGTTTTACATATCTATACAGAGAGCATGTGTATGTGTATGTAACTCTATGAGTGTGGTTTTAACTGGTCTTATTTGATGTTTAGTTGAACAAGAAAAAGCATCAGCTGATGCTGTGGAGGTGACACCAGAAACAAAAGTAGCTACAAGAGTTAAAAAAACAAGAACTGTGGTTAGGAAAGTACTGGTTAGAACCAAAACTCCCACTTCAGCAAAAGCTGTTGCTAGGCAGACACCTAAGGCGGAGGGAACTGAAAAGTTGAAGGGTAAAGAATCCTCCGAGAAGGAACAGGTTGGGGATGCTAAGGATGTAGATTATGAGAAGAAAGAAGAATCCTCTGTTTCAAATGTTGAAGAATCTGCCAAGAAGGAAGAACCTGCTGTTGAAAATGTTGAAGAAACCAAAACGGAGGAGGATCAGAGTGTTATAAATGTTGAAGAACCCACAAAGGAGGAAGAAAAGGCTGTTGATGTGGAACAACCTCTGGTTCCAAATGTTGGAAAATCTACAACGCAGGAAGATCCTGTTGCTGTAGATGTTGCAGAGTCTTTAGAGAGTCGAGAACCTGGTATAGCAAGGGCGGAAGTCGAGGTGAAGGAAAAAAAGGAGGAAATGAGAATTGTTGAGGATAAAATGGGACCCAATAATGAGCTTGTCAGCATGGAGGAAGATACCAACAAGGAATTGAAAGGACAAGATGCTGAACCTGGGGATGCGCACCAGGGTGAGGAGAGGATGGAGGAGTGCAGGGACCAAGAAGTTCTTGAAGAATTTGGTGAGGAAGAGCTTGCAGAGGAAAATATTGAGGAGCATGGCGAAGAAGAAGAGGCATTGGAAGAGGAATGCATGGAATTTACTGCTGTGGCAAAAGAGCGCAAGATTAGGAAGGAGGTGGAGATATTTGTTGGTGGGTTGGATCGTGATGCAGTGGAAGAGGATGTGAAAAAGGCTTTTGAGAACATTGGTGAGGTAGTTGAAGTTAGATTGAATAAGGATCCTTCAACTAACAAAAATAAGGGTTATGCATTTGTGAAGTTTGCAACTAAGGAGCAAGCAAGTCGAGCTTTATCAGAAATGAAAAACCCTCTTGTATGAATTTTCTCTTAGTTGTTGTTGTTTCTTTTCCAATTTTAGTGTGTTCTAATTTTTTGTTGTTCATAGATACGTGGGAAGCGATGTGGGACTGCACCAAATGAGGACAATGACACATTGTTCTTGGGCAATATTTGCAATACGTGGACAAAGGAAGCTGTAAGATTTACTTAACATAGTAGATGTATTCTAAACAAGATTGCTTGCTCATTATTAATTTGACATGGGTTGGCAACTTGGCAGATCAAACAAAAACTGAAAGACTATGGAATTGAAGGTGTTGAGAACATTACTCTTGTCTCAGATGTCAGGCATGAAGGGTTGAGTCGTGGCTTTGCATTTATTGAGTTCTCTTGTCATGCTGATGCCATGCTTGCATATAAGAGGCTTCAAAAGCCGGATGCTGTTTTTGGCCATTCTGAGAGGACTGCCAAAGTAGCTTTTGCTGAACCTTTACGTGAACCAGATCCAGAGGTAATGGCCCAGGTTAAGTCAGTATTTGTTGATGGGCTTCCTCCCCAGTGGGATGAGGACCGAGTTAGGGAGCAATTTAAAGGCTATGGAGAGATTGTACGTATTATGCTGGCCCGTAACTTGCCAACTGCCAAGAGGAAGGATTATGGATTTGTTGATTTTACTACACATGAGGCTGCCGTTGCTTGTGTTGAGGGCATAAATAACAGAGACTTTGGTGATGGGAACTTGAAGGTATTCTTCTAGTCCAGTAGTTATAAAAACATTTTTTGATGTGCATGGGTAGGGTTTAGGAGTTGCCTTGCAAATATTTTGTGATCCTGTTACATATGGATTGATTTTGTGGACACTGCACACAAATCTTTGAGAATTGTGTGCATATTTTGCCATGGACAGCTAGATTGTAGTCATTCATGGTGCTAACTTACCCTTTTTGACCTTTTTATTGATTTAGATCATTAACCTCTTTGACATGCACATTTTTACCGCTACATACACATGCATGCTAATGATATTGGCCTGATGTTATTGCAGAGTGTTTAATGTGGTATTAACAGAGTCAGTGATATTGTTCTCTTTTATTGTTAGACTAAAGTGAAAGCAAGACTTTCGAATCCTTTGCCAAAAAGTCAGGCTATCAAGGGTGGAATGTGTGGAGGGTTTAGAATTGGCCATGGTGGTGCTGGAAGCTTTTCAAGATTTGGTAACTCTAAAATTTGGACAACTGATGCTTCAGTATCTTTTTTAGGTTATTTTTATAAAATGCAATCTTTGTTGTTTACAGGAAGGGGCTTTGGGCGGGGTGGTCATGCATTCAACCGGCCAAACTTTCAACACGGCAGGGGTTTCTATCAACGTGGACGTGGTCATACTTGGAGAATGGGTTTTAACCGTGAACATGATCTTGATATCCAGTATCCTCCTTTCCAGCGAAGAGAAATGTTCGGGCGAGGTTATTTTATGAATCTACTGAGTTTCTGATGTTTAAATTCATTCTTTTTGCTAACGAATGGATAAACGGACAACCATGCCTTTGTGCGTCTGTTTTTTTCACATTCATATATATGCTTCTATTAAAAACCATAAACCAAGAATCTCTTTTACATCATATCAGCCCTTGAGGCCCCATGTGCATCAGCACTATCCTTTTCTTGTGTGGGGGGGGTGTTTGGGGGGGTCGTAGAATTTTCCTCTCCTTTCTTGTTAATAAGTAATTTTAACATTTTAAAGACTTGAAGGAGAGGGGTGACATAGATTAAGACCTTGTTAGTCACATAATGATGAGGCCACTTGTAATTTGTACTCGGTACAAGGTTATGAAAAAGGAAGAAAGACGGGGCTCATAATTCGTACTTGGCAGAAAGGTTATAAAATTTACAATTTTGTTCTTCATTGCATTCACATGATTACATAATTTTCTATTAAAACATTTTTCTTGTGTTCTTAGTCTAAAAAAAAAAAAAACCTCAATTGGCAGAAACACTTCGAGGCAAGTTAATTTTTGACAAAGAGATCTGACACGTAATATCTAAATTAGTCATCTAGTTCTTTAACATATTCAATTCCCATTCCAATGAATGAAAGGTTTCTGCTAGTCTTTATAATATAGATGGATGCAGTTATCAATCCCTTAATTGTTATCTTACATGAGCAGGTGGATGGAGAGATTCATTTGGGGGTGCTCATGAAGCATCTAGTGGAGGTTCTGTTTCAGCAAGACCTAACCTTGATAGGGTCAGGCATGATGCACCTGATAGAGGCCGTGGGAGGCATATTCCACCAAGGAGGCAACCATTTCCCCCTGAAGAAGGATTTAACAGACCATTCGTTGGAAGGCATTTTGATGACCCTTACTTTTATGATGACAGTGCACATGGGATGAAGCGGCCATTCTTTATGACAGTAAGCTGGAATTCATTTTAGTTTTGTGAAAGTAGTTCTGTTTTGAGATTTCTTTCAGCTTCACACAGTGTACCTTACTGTTTGTATGTATGCTTTTGGCCATAAGGACCAGGATCGTGATTACATGGAGCCTAGCAGACTCCGTCCTAGATTGGATTACTCTGATCCTGCTGTTCCATTTCGTACGCCTCGCTATCAAGGTGTGGATTGTGTGCAATGTTGCTTTTGCCCTGCTTGTTTGTATGGCTTGTATTTTTGTCAGATGGCTGATATCCCTTTTTGTTCTAGATTCGTATGGTGCTGGAAGCAGTCTCTACTCGCATGATTATTATGGCTCTGATGTGAGTACTTGTGGCTAATTTTGTATTGATTCATGGCTTGCATTTTAACATACTCCTGATTTCTCATGTTCTGTCATGTTACAGTATAGCGAAGGCCCATATACATCTTTTTACGGGAGTGGTCGCCCCTATGGAGGTGGCTATTACTACTAGATTTGAGAGGCTTAGGTAATTCCAATGTCTTACCTTTCTAATTTTACTTCTGGCTGCAATATTGCTGTATTAACATGTCAAGGGCTCTTGCAGGTACCTGAGGTGGGATGGACGTTGCTTGGTGGAGGATTGTGGACTTTTGCTTGAAAGGAAAGCTGAAATTAGTCTCTTTCTTCCTTTCCTTATCTCTTTCTATTTTTCAGTTTTTCTTATAAAGTCTTCCCACTCATGTCTTCCTCTCCACCTCTCTTTTCGTAGTCTGTTCTCTTTGTCAAATTTTCAAACATAATGAGTTTCCAAAGTGTCTAGTTTAGGTGATACCTACAGGAAGGGTCTTTTATATCGATATCAATATCATTTTGTACAATGGGGTATTACAAAGGCATCAGCTCTTTTGCCCTAGATAGGATCATCTTGAGGACAGTAGACATGAGCTGTTGAGATGAGCTGCAGAGATTGCATTATGTGTTCATGATCTGTGTGGTATTTAGTACACATGTTCATCCTTTTATCTTGAAGCTTAAAGGAAACAAATTGGGTGACTATTTGTTTTCTAGCAGGCAGAATTTCAGGTCTAGGTTTTTCCTTTCATTGATGTGGATTCAGTAGTAATGACTTTCAGTATGCAAATGGTGGCTTTTTGGAGATTGCAGTTATTGTTTTATGTGGAGAGGAGTATAAGATTTCAACTTGCATTTATGCCACTTAGGAGTGAGAAATTCCCAACTTGAAGATATAATCGAAAGTCTTATCACGTGTAGGGGAGTTGACTTTCTATGGTAACTTTTCATGGTCATTTTGTGTTTTTTGAGGCATGTTGGATGTTGATTCTGACCTTTAGTGTAAATCAATAAAATTAAATGTAGCTCAGGAGAAATTATACTATTTGGTTTGGATCCATTGTGTTTGAGTCTGACTTTCATGTAATCAAATTTAGATGGGGATGTGATCTTTTAAGATCAAATGTTAAGATCACTTGAGTAATTTTGAGGGGCATACAAAGTTGACACGATCCATATTATATTCCCATGCAATGAGTTATAGCTCGGGAGCTGTTTGACTTGGGTTACATCTTGGATGGAATGCATCTTTATGCTGGACAGTCCTGCTGTTGTACCTGTTATTCCCCTCCTCTGGAAGGTGGTGTCTGATTTATTTAGTATGTATAATATAAAGGATTGTGTTGTGCCAAGGATAGCAAGGTTTTTTATGCATATCTGAAGGTGTCAGCGATCAATTGGGTCACTGGTTTAGTTTCTTAGTATTCATACTCGAAATTTACATTTTTAGGAAGATATTTATGGTTTGATGCTGTAATTAAATTCAGTTCAGACGATGGTTTTAGGGGCTATGTGTGCTTTTCTTTACCTATCGAATGGAGTATTTTGCCTAGGTTCATATGGAGTCAAATGATTCTTACTGTGGAGACAAATCTGAGCTGCCATTGGGTAAATCACATTGAGGTTCCATTGCTTTCTAGTATTCACCAGCCTCTTGTAGTAGCTACTAGCCATGGGATATGTAACCTTGGCTCAGTGGGATGGGAGAGTTTACTGCCTCCTATAATTACTCAAAATTTTACTTCCATTTGAATTCCTGAAATGACACATTATCTATTTTTTGTCAGTTGAGATTTTAACCCTATGGTGCTATTTTGGTTTGTAGTGAGGTTTAATGTCTATCGGGTTGATAGCTGGTCTTAGAGGAAATTATCTGTGTATGATTTTGTATGTCTATTTTGAGGCGATATTAACAAGATTGTGGTGATATTTTGGTTTGTAGTGTGGGGGTTTAATGGGTATTGGGTTGACAATCGGTCTGAGTATATTATGTTATAATTGATCTTAGTGAAACTGATTTATATGATTTTGTATGTCTATTTCGAGGCAATATTAACAAGATTGTTTGCGAATAGAATCAAACATTTCTAGATGCAATTGTTTTGAAAAATATAGGGGAAGCCTCAGTTCAATTTTTCAAATAAAAATAAAAAATAAAAAATCAAAGATGAATTTATTTATGGGATATTAAGACTCATAATGGAAAATATGATCTTTTAAGTAGTTCATCTGTGAGCGCAGTCCTTCAGAAAGAGCTTTCTTTAAAGGGACAATAGTTTACATTAGATTTGCACGAGTTATGTTCCTCTGCTTGGAATAGAGCTTGAAGACTGCATTACCTTACATCATGACATTTGGAATTCTACAGAATCTGTTTAGTGGTTGCTATTTGCCTCTGAGCTTAGTGAACTCAAATGGGCAATATGTGGAAGTTTAATACATAAAAAGATTTGTAGGACACAGGTTGATGAAGTTCCTTGGGAAAAGGTGCAAGCATGCTGATGATACCTTGCATTACAAGGACATAGCTCGTTGAGATATTTTTCTATTTTTGTTAGTAGTACGAATAATATTTACATTGTTGGTTAAATTGTGGTGATAGCTGGCTGATCAAAAAAAATTGTGGTAATAGCTGGGAGATTGCACAGGTTAAATTCACTTCAATGCTCGTTACTTTTGTCCTGTTGACTGATCATTTATACGCATTGTTTTGATAATGTAGGAGTGTCCGCAAACATTTGAGGTTAATTCTGTAAGGTAATCATGTATAAATCCTGATGGTTTAGATGTTTTTGGCACTTTTTTTATAAGGGATCAAATTAGTTATAGATGGATAGGATTGTTGATTTTATTAGGGGAAACAATGACACTGCCATTTGGTGCTGTGCTTGATTAGATAAAGGTGTTTTTTCTTGCCCTTGCATTTTTCTTCTATTAACGTTTTCCATTTGCTCCTTTTATAATTTTTACTGTACTCGTGTACCAGTTCGTTTTGCCTTGCCTTCTATTTTCTTTTTTCCTTTTTTCGAGTACTGAATTCCAATCGAAGTTGTAATAATGAGGTGATTGGATACTGTATGAATGTATACTTGTAATAATGGGATTGGATATTGTATGAATGTACACATAGAATCAAAAATTTCATGTTGTTTGGCAGAATTGAAGAATATCAATAAAAATTAATGGGAGTTTGGTTACATATTTCTGATATGTTGAGACAGATATGCTATATGCGCCTGCAGCATAATTGACAGGTTTTACTTGGACACAGTTTTTTCAGTATCCTTTCATTGTTCATTGTGATTTTCTGGGATTGAACATTTATCATGATTGTATTATGTCCTGTATTTTGTACAAGTTGCGACATACCTAATTTTGATTTAGGGCATTGACTCTCAGTCTGAGCTACAAATTAACTTGCATAAACTGTGTTGTGCTATTCTGAATCTTTGATGAGTCTCTTCAATATAGTCAGGCAAAGGCTAATTCTATCATGAATGTATTGTGCTCTCCTGCATCAAAATGTATCGTCAGTAGTGGTTCCTACAAACCACCCTTTCAATGGATAGTTTACAGTGAAATATAGTTGATGATTAATGATGATGTTTTGCTCAAATTCTATTCAAACTGGTAGAGAATTTTTTCAGTATATGATGTGATGTGGCACTCATTATGTAAACCATTATTCTATCACGTCAAATATTGGTTCCAATTCAATGTAATTGAGGTTATGATTTTATATGGAGTAATTAAATATAAACTTTTGTCAAATGGTAATTTTGAAACATAAAGCCAACCAAATAGCTTTTTACTCCAGTTACATCATCACAACTCTCCCATCTGAGGTTTTCAAAAATATATATATTCTCCGATCTGTGAGGTTAGAGTATTAAAAATAAATAAAAAATAAAAAATTATACTGCGTTGTTCTTTTTTTTTTTTAATTTTATTTTATTTTTTTAATTTTTGGCCATTTTTATTTTTATTTTTATTTTTATTTTTATTTTTATTGACCTTTCATGTATAAGGTTTTTTTTTTCAATTAACTCAACAAACTGAGATTCAAATTAACGTGACATTAAAATATTTTATTATATGATTCACATGTTTAAACTCTAATATAGTAATATGATTTTTTTTGTCTAATATAAAAAGAAATTAATTAATGTAAAAAATAAATTGAGAAAAAAATGGAACATAGAAGGCTGAAGTAAGAAAATGTGCGAATTAAAGGTACAAAGTGTAATTGACCCAATGAAGAAGTTAATTGCAAATTAGTGGAATATAATGACAATAATGTCAAGAAATCCTAATATTGTATAGATTGGATCCCACATGGAAGAGAGTATAATACCGTGTAATATAGTTGGAATACTAAGCATTTCTCATGTAACAAGAACTGCGGGCTACAATTGTGAGTCTTGTCTTTCTTCCAAATCATGATCTGCCTTCTCAGTTAAGTGATAGCTCGATAAGAAATTAAATGATTTTATATAACCATATATATAAATCATTGGGCTGAAGCAGATCTTAAGCTTTTCTCAACAAAAACAAAAAAAGAATAATCTCAAGCAATGAGCACAACTCATTCCGTGCTTTCTCCATGACACTGCCAAAATCAAAAGCAATTTTCTTTCTATTCAATCTAGATCCCTATTTTTCTTCAACCACCATATCCAAAGATGGAGAGAGAGGAGAGAGGTTTTGCAATACAGAAAGGAAGACAAGGGAAAAGAAACACTAGTAAAGCAGAATATCATGCAGCTTCTAAATCTGTGCAAAGTATAATCCTATAAAGGTTTTGCTGCTGTCCATATCCACTGAGAGAGAGAGCGAGACAGGGAGAGTACACATACCCCTATTTTTTTCTGACATAATTCAGTTTCTTATTTTTCACGATATCCCAGTAATACACAAGCTATTTTACGGTGTTGTAGCGATTTGTACCATGCTTGGCCCAGTGATCCTTGAGATCAAGTGGAGTGAACAGATCATGACCCTCGGCTGCAAGTCGGTTAAGCAGTTTTGTGAAGGCACTCCCACTCATCTTTCTGCCCCCAATTCGGGCATGACGTTTGTTGGACATCTGAGGCAAAGGATACATCGACATGGTGGTCGTGCAGCAAGCCGACTGCCATCCACCGCTTCCCCACTTGTAGCAAGGCTGGGGTAATCCGGTGCAGGAGCAAACAGGCACTGGCATGGTAGACTCATCAAAGTTGACCTGGTTTGAACCCAAATTATCCTTCCACATCACAAGCCGTCCATCTAGGTCCTCATCTTCACCAACCAAGTCGTCCTCGTTTTCCCAACCGTTTGACGTAGACATGGCAGCTTGGCTTACACCTTCATGGCCTCTTTTACCCTTTCTGGGAGACTTTGACGGCTTCTTTGTTTTGGTCTCCTTCGCTTGCTTTACCTTCCTGGGCTTGGTGGTGGTCTCACAAGCAACTTCGGTACTCTGGTATGGATTGCTTGTTGGAATTTTCCTTGGATCATATTCTGTTTCAGCCAACTGAGCTACAGAATGATGCATTTGCTGGTGGTGGTGAAGGTGCTTTGCTCCACCACGTAAAACTCCATTTCCAGGTGAATCGGGGGATATGTTATTCTCATTCATGGAACTCTCTCGGAATTGGAGGGCAGCAAGGACCTTGTCTCGTTCATCTATGGCACTGTTCCGCTCTGCAATTGCCGCATCTCGCTGTAACATTGCCATGTCTCGCTCAGCAATGGCTCTTCTCCTCTCGTCTAGGGCCATATTCCTATCTCGAATAGCAGCATCCCTCTCGGCCATGATGGCCATGTACGTCTTTATCGTCAAATTGTGTTCCTTCAATGAAAGCAGAAATCAGTTAAGTGGAAGCCATACCATCATTCTAAGTGCCTGATCATGTATAATGTACAGCTCACGAAAAAGAGAGGGGGGAAAAAAAAACTGAAGTTTTAGACAGCCTTTCTCAATGAATATTGCCCATGCCAACTATAGGGCGCTTGTCACTATCCTATGTTTTCATTTTCTTATTTTTTATTTTTAAATTTTTTTGAGAGCAGATTTCATTCTCTTGTTGATGTCACTAATATGTCAAACCCATTGTCAGAATTAGCTAGAGATTGACAAGGCGACCTAGTTTTCTATTTGAAAGAATAAATTTGTCAGTTATTGGTTTCTAAAGCATAGAGTAATTCTACACATACTAACAATCTTACTAAAAATACAATAGGCCAAATGTGATTGGTTGTAAAAAAAGCAAAGATATTTAAACATCCAATGATGTTTGGACATGTATGTTTTTAGTAAGATTTAAGTAGATGTAGCATTGCTCCTAAAGCATAATGTATGTAAGCTAGAAATAAGTTCTTAGTTTTGCAACAAGAAGTGCAGGATCATACCATCAGTAGGTAAAAAGGGAAACCACTAAAAATCCATCTTTATATGGCTGTTTCTGCAAACAGTGCAAACCAAATACAGTGAATCAGTAAACAAGAAACGACATGTGAATCCAAAAAATACAAAATAAGGTACTTCAAAACTTGAATTTTAAAGTAAAACAATGAATAATCAAATTGTTAAAACATCTGTTAGAGATGCATGAATTTTTTTGAAAGGCAATCAAGATAATTTTTAAAACCAGTGAATCCAACTACTGTACATTCAACATTGGTAAGACAAGGCAATCAAGTAAATTGAGTCGAGGTATCGAGGCTACACAGGGTGCCTAAGGCTAGGGGAGGAGCCTGAGGCCAATCGAGGGGCCAAGGCTAAGCAAAATGCCAGGGCCAAATTGGCCTGAGACGAGGCCATGAGTGAGGTATATGCCTTGTGATGTGAAGTCAACCCCCATAGCTAATGACAGGGCATGTCATACAAAACACAAATACCTACATTAAGCAAGTGCATTTAAGTAATTCCAATTGATCTCAAGAAAATGCGACATGAAATTTTAGGAACTAGTGAAATCAGAAACTTTTAAAACCCTGCCACTAAATCGCAGGGGAAGCTTTTTTTTCTCCCCAGAAAGTAAACCCTGGAAAAATTTGCCTGTTTATTCCATCCCGACACACTCCTCAATAATTGCCACGAAAAGAGTATACAAAAAAATTCACAACCTTTATGTAGTTTCTAAGAATTAAGATTTGACAAAATGCAAGCAATTAGAACAGAAATTATATACATTAAACAAAGAGAACTAAGAGTGGCCAAGAGCAGCAAAAATAACATAGAAAATTAAACATGCATATGGTATGAACATTTAACATATAAAATATACCAAGGCATTAAAGAATCAACAAAAGTCCATATTAGCTCCCCTGCACAATCTCTTTCTCCCTTGAGAAAAGAGTGGGGAGAGAACAGAAGGTTGTAGGAAAAACATGAATTAACCAAGAATGAAACAACGAGAAAACAATTAGTTCACAGATATCAACCAAAAATGAGTACAGTACATACACTATAAAGGTGTGAAGATTGAATAATTTATTCCTAAGCAGTCAAAATAGTTAGGGTTCAAGAATATACAAGGTATCAACACAGAACAATCATGCCAACACCTCTGACGCAGAAAGAGAGAAAGGGAGACCTGTACATGCTACTGTTTCATAATCACCATACAAAAAAATTAATCCAAAAGAATATATTTTATACAATATTGTAAAATTGCCAGGTTTAACAAAGGTCAAGTTTTGGTATCGCACAGCATCTATTATAGATAGTGTATGTATGTATTCAGCAGAAACTGATAATTCCCAAGTACATTAAAGTTCATATGCACATGGAATGTAATGATTTGATGAAATTGCAAACAAAAAATATAATGAATGTTGCTGGAACAAATTAATGATGATATCTCTAACTGCTGTTTAGAACTATGTGAATATGGTTCACTTGGCTTTAGCTGCATCCACATAAACATGTCATTAAACCTCAAACCCAAACTCAAATTTTCCTCATTTACCCCAACCAAATAAATGAGTACATGAACAAACGCATACCCAAAACTTTAAAGATTAAACCAGTTATATAAAATTAAAATTAAAAATTGAAAATTAAGAACTAAGGCTTCTAAATTTTTCATTAGAATATTTAGATTGAATGGCATTGGAACTTGAAGGACTACCAATCCCATCCCATTTATTGTTAATAGGTGAAGAATGCCTTTAAGCTCCTAAGAAGACTTGAGTATGGACTCTGGTTATAGTGTTAGACACCCAAGAGACTTTGTCAACTATGCTACTGGCATCTTTCTCAATAATTTTCTTTGTTTCCTTGAGACAATCAAATTTCACCAATCAAAATCAATAACCTACTACAAACAATCAAGACTTAAGGATCTTACTAGAAATTCTCATGGGCTACAAAGGCCCTGTTTGGTAGGGCTTATTTCCAGCTTATTTCAGTTTTTAGCTTAATTTAAGCTATTTTGATGTGTTTGGTTCAGCTTAACAATACAGCTTATAGCTTTTTATAAGTCAAAAATCAACTAATTTTTTGAGTGGGGGGAGGAGAAACTTAATTTATAAGTCAAAAATCAGCTTATGTTCAAAGTTATAAGCTGTAAACTGTTAAATTATAAGCTATAATCACTGTTCCACAGCTCTACCAAACGGGGCCAAAGATGCCTATTTATCTCTGTATCTTCAACATTCCTCAAAGAACACAACCTACTTCTAATATCAGTAACAATTCTACCCAGAACAGCCTCAAGTTCAAAATAAGAGTGTGAGAAAATTCTGGAGTTCAACATGAAATATAGACCACCAAATAATTTATAGACTGAACAATGACTTTCCATTTTTATAATGAACAGCCCAGTAAAACTCTCCATGAATCTTTAGATGGATCCTCATAATCTACTTCCTAACCAACATTTCCAAACCTGTTGGCAAAACATACATTCAAAGAATAGACCATAGTGGCTCACCTCATCTCACTGTTACATCACCCAGCAAAGATCATCAACAATAGCCCATCTTCCAATTTGATCCGTCGCAGATAACCTTCCTTGACCACTTAACCACTGTATGAACCAAAAAAATTTAAACCTTGGAACCTTTGGTTTCACAGACCTGATAGTATTCCAAGCAAATTTAATTGTGAATTCACAGTTTTATGCAGCCACTTTACATTGTACTTCCTTTCCACAACTGAGAACAGAATTTGGGGAATTACTCAATGATTTACTAAAGCAGATTAGCCACTTCCACTCCCCTTGTTGAAACAAAGTAGATACTTTAGCATTTAGCACTCTACTCTTTGGCCTTGTTTGATTAACAAGATTAATAGTGAAAGAATTACTTATCCCATGAAGTAGTGTAGGATTAATTATCCAATTAAATTAGTGAGATAACTATTTATTATGTATTCATTTTATGTTATTTCTTTCATACTTCAAATTATGATTTCCAACCCCTCTCAATATTAAAAATTCGCCAATTTCATCAAATTGAATGTCCGCCGTACATGTAATCCGACTAATAACATTTGTAATCAAACATAGAATTGTGAGTTCTTAGGCTAACAATCTCAATTCTATACTATAATCCTACTAATCAAACATACCCTTGAAGAAACTTATTCTTGCTCTCCTGTATCAGTTATTAGTTTAGTTTACTCATTTATTCTATATTTTCCGCCAATCCTGTTGGAGATGAATAAACTTCATCAGTCAAAGTTTTTAATAGGTCTTAGTACCATAATATTTCACAATAGGACAATGTCTACTTAGTCCAGTCCAGGTAACCTAGTAAGTTAGCACTTAACATCGTAGGAACACATAAATTTCTTTCACACTTGATTCCATCATAGGGATTTCAAACTTAATTGCAAAGTAAATGCTACTTTTGGAGAGGAAGATCAGCAAACTTAAATGTTGAAGTGGGGTATCTTCCCAAAAGGAAGCTCAATTTCCTGTGTGTTGCAGCCAAAATGTAGTAAACTTTGATCTCAAGCATTCTTATATATTCATTCATACTCTTCATCATCCAATTGCAAACCAAACACAATCTATGTACTGCATGTGTATCTTTGTGAATACATGTACATAGTACAAATTAAACAAACAAATCACCCGACGTGCCATTTGTAATTAAGGTTTTACAATGTAATTGAACCAGAACTGAAACCTACAATACAGTGAAGAGTGACCTAGTTCGCCTAACGCATAACATTTTGATAATTTTGTGCAAAAAAGAAAAAAAAGGGAATCAGTGATGCAAGTTAGATCAAAATCAAATTTCCTCTATTTAAAATAAGATTCGTACACAAAAAAAAAATAAAAAAAATAAAAAAAATCAAGAGCTAGGGTTTTACCAAACAGAGATGAAAGATTTAGAGAATAGCAGAAATCGTTGAGCTGAAAATGGTGAGAAGACCACCGAAATGACGAATCTGCAAGGGCAAAAGGAGATCGAGAAGCGAAAATGTGTTCGATCAGAATGAAAACAAGGCAATCGAAGAGTTGATAGAGGAGAGAGGCAAATCATACCAGAGAGAGAGTCGATTGGGGGGTGAAAACTGATTCCAACTTAAGTTCGTCTTCGTACAGCTGTTTACGAAGGCGACGACTCGAAAGTGCTGTTTCTCTCTCCCTCTCTCCGTGTTTGTTTCTCTGTTTTCACATATATTTTTTTTCTTATGTTTTTTTGGATTGGAGGCGCAGGTGAGGAAAATGGTGTGATATTTAAGATGCTCTGCTGAGACCACGGCGTGTGGAACAGCGGTGCAGTCTCCACTAATGTACACCTGCTTTGGCTGTGCACACAGAACGTTTGAACCGTGTCTGCGTCCACGTGCATTGCACATGCCCTTTTGGCACCGTTTGTTTTGGAGCATAGAGAGAGGAATGTGATCAGGATTGACCTGAGACCTATTTAATGTTATCTTTATTTATAGATTTGGGGAATGGATTGAAATGAGAGAGGGGGATTAGATTGGGTCTTAGAAGGGGGATTGAGATGGAGAACGTGTAGGTATAGGTGGTATTAGAAAAGTAGTCCGCCGGCCTAGAAATTTTTTATTTTTTAATTTTTTACGTGTTGGCCATTTTTTTTGAACATTAATGTTTAATTTTTTGTATTTTTCGTTAAGTAAAAATCATTGTTTTATTTTTTCTCGAAATTTTTTATTTTTTATTTTTTACATGTTGGCATTTTTTTTGAATATTAATATTTAATGTTTTTGTATTTTTTTATTTGTTTTATTATTTTATATAAAAATAATTTAACAATTTCTACACTAACAACTATCATCAAAATAAACACAATTTTACTTAATCTCTTTACTAATAATCCCCTTGTAGACACCCAATTTTTGATCACTCGTAAAACTTAGGCGCTTGATCCAGCACACTCGATGATGAAAATTGCGTTGTGTGATTCGAGTTTTCGGCGAAGGAATCCAAAGTCGAGCCCTGAAATAATTTCAAAACCTTCTTACTTGTCTCATTCTTACCTCCGAGGTTCATTTTTGACTATTGTGCCACCTTATACTGAGTTTGAAGCAGGGGAGTGAGGCAGTACATTACGGCCCAGTCGTGCTCCATTGGGAGCCGACTGTGGCTATTAGGGCTTGGCCGTGCTTCGATGGCGATACACACTGTTCTAGGTAAGAGCCCACCAGCTGTCTTTTTTTGAAGATATTTTTCGAATTATCTTGCTCAAATTCTATAAAAATGAGGTTATACCTCTGTTTTGAGGGCTGAAAAATTTCTAAAGAACCATTACACACGAGAGAGAGCTCTTTCTTCCTATACAAGTCATCTTTGAGCTAACCTATCTCTCTTAATCAATATATATACCCCATACATCACCTTAGATCATAACCTTAGGACTTTGGTTAAGGCTTGAGCATCACAATTCAGGCTTGAGCATCACAATTCAAGCTTGAGAGGGTGTTTGAACCAAGTTTGTGTTATAAACAAAAGCTTACTTCTTTGAGAGGTATAAACTTGTCACCTTCTCTTTTGCTTCTTGTTCTATCTCTTGCTATCTACTTTTTGTGTTTTCGTGCTGTCTTGAATCCATTTTTAAGTGTTTAAGCTTGGGTTTGGATAGCTACCAAAGGGTAGAAAGAGTTTACACTCTTCTACCAAAGGGTAAAGAGAGTTAACAATCTTTCCTGCACCTTCACTTATAGCTCAAACCCTTGTTTTACACCATTTTCTTTACTTTTCAAATTGATTTTCAGAGTTTAAAAGATGCTAAAAATCATGTTTTGAGGTTTCAAAAGTGGAGGGGTTAGCCACCCTTCCTTGTTCTTGCTTACTAGTCTTTATTTTCTTTGCTTGTTGTTTAGCTTTTTGGGCTCTTTTCATGCACTTTGAGCCACTGTTTTTCACCTATTAGGGGCTGTTTTGGGCTATCCTAGGTTATTTAATAGGTTCAAGCTTTGATTAGTTCGTTTGTTGTATCATAAGTTCTCATATATAGCTTGATGCATGTTGTTTTTAGCTTTTCTTTAATTGATTTCCATGTTAAGAGCCTCATTTTAATAAGCAACTTATCATCCATTTCTTTCGTTTAAGAGCTGTTTCAACCGATTGATGGTTATTCAAAACATGAGCTAGAGATTTATGTTTAATGGCTTAATCTCTACAGAGGTTCATCGCCAATGACATGGTCTCTCTTTTAGGTTGAGAATCACTTCCGGTTTGACATGCTTCTCATTTAGTGGACATAATCATTATCTTGGACAAATGGATTAAAAAATGGCAAAAACTAAATAAGTGTGTTTGGTTTCAGTTTTTTGAATTCAGTTTTCTGAAAAATGAGTTTTTTATTTTTTGTGTTTTTTTGTTTTTATTGAATATTTTTAAAATTTTAAATAATCTTTTTTACTTTTTTAGATACACCTTACTTAAATATCTAAAATAGTAAAATATTTGTGAAAAAATATTTGAAAAAATTAATAAATACACAAAAATACGAAAATGTACTGAATTTTCATTTTTTTTTTGTATTTTTTTGGTATTTAGTGTATTTTTAAAGATTTTTTTTTCTCCACAAATATTATACTTTTTAAGTGTATTTATGTTAGGTTTGTCTAAAAGTTAAAAAAAATGCCTAAAATATTAAAAAAATTCATTGAAAATATTAAAATAGGAAAAATAAAAAAGTAGAATTTTTTGAAAATTGTTTTTTGAAAACTGAAACCAAACAAGTTCAATGAATTTGGCTTAAAATGAACCAACCAACATAAAGAACATGAGTTATATTGCTTAGGTTCGGTCGGACGTTATGCCAAGTTTATTGTGTCAAGGGTCGTCACACGTCAATTCATGGTGTTTTGACGACTCTTGAAGCGTCTTTACTTCTCCTTTGAGCTCACTCCATGATAAAGAGAAGGGGTTGGTGTCGATTCATTGCATTCATTGATTTTTGTCCAAATCGTGACTGAGATCATCAAGCAAGCAACTTGCTCATTGGTGGTTTTGGAAACGACTTCATTCTTCTCTTGAGACTTTCCATGACAGAGAATTGTAATAGGGACAAACATAGCTCAGAAAATTCTGTTTGTACTGTTTTTACCTTAGAACACAAAAATAGAGTTTTGCATGAAATTAGGGCACGACCGGCCCTATTTGGGCCCGACCAGGCTTCATTGGGGATCGGTCAGGCCCTAATGTTTGGTAAACAAAGTGTTTTGCAAAAAACAGATAGCAGTGGCTGATGGTGAAACAAGGTAAATTCTAAGGAAGACAGACAAAGTTGCTTTTGAAAACCGTCACATGCATGCCATCCTTGTGCTTTATAGTTCTATCAAATGTAGTAAATTAGTGTTCTCATTATCATTGTAATTAAATATAATTAGCATTCTTGTAATGATTATGAATGTTTATTGTTGAGTAACTTAGGTAGTTAGCTTTATTGTGTACCCTTGTTGTAATAAATTAAGTAGCTAGCTTATCTCTTCTTATTAGTCTTGTTGTAATAGCTTAGCTAATTAGTTGTTTATTCATTCATTTGATTTTGTAATAGTTAGTTTAAGTCGGACACTTAGACATTCATTCGGATCTTCTTGCATGAGGGCAAGATTGTAATAAACATGTATGTCTTCTAACCCCCATTTCTTTCTCCCTTTTATTTACCCGCTTATAATGGTAGTGTAGAGCATCATATTTACTTAGCATTTTCCATGATTTTCATACACTTGTCTCACATGCATTTGGGTTCGGCTCATCATACTAACCAACGCCAATTTCATTTTCATTATTTGAATACGTAATTCATCGCATGCTTTGAATTGGTTCATATACCATGCTCATAGCCGAGCCTATTAAAAATTGCATAAATGTATGCGTTGCATTAGTCACATTACATTGTTTAGGAACATGCATATTTTCTAATTATTTTGCTTTGTTTGGCTTGCCTTGGAGTACTAGGTGAGCATTTATTATTTTAGTAACTTGCATAGTGTGTGATTATTGTCATGTCGAGCATGCTTTCCATGAGGTTAAATGCTTAGATGATATAATTATTTGAATGTCGGCGGATGAAGGTTAATTGCGAAAATTGGGATACATTGAATAGTGCACATACAAACTCACATTTCTAAGTGATGAGTATCAAAGACAATTTTCAAACAAACATGAAATCAAAGCGTTCTAACTTTTGCAAATTAGTCTATACTTGTGTGCAACACATAATAATGTTAGCCTAATAATCGAAATAAGAGCATATAATGTAAATAAGAATCACATCATGATTAGTAGAGGCTGATCTTTGATCGGGTGAGTGGGGTGCTCAATTCATGACCTTCCCCTCTCGTATCTAAGTTCCCGAGCCGAGACACTTTGGTGATGACAGATAAGTGGCCTTTGGCACGAGTCTCGGGTTTCCTAAATTTTCCAAAAATATTTAGGCGGCGACTCTGTGATCTGGTAAAGTAGTCAATTTTTGGCAGTTTTGATTCAAAATCGATTTTCCAAAAGAATTGCCGAATTTAGACTCTTTGTGTTTTTTTCTATTTCACATTACACTTGTGAAATTAGATTCAGAACCACGGGAGTCCGAACTATAGGGCTAGTCGTATCCGAAAAGAGCATAAAAAGCAAGCTACAATTTTTGGCGATTCTGCTGGGGATTTAGAGATCTTGACTTGAAATTCATGATGTGAAATTTTACCTATACTTATATGTTTTTTGCATTGCATTTGCATGGTTACTTTAAGTCACAGTGTTTTCCATCTGCTATTCGGGGACGATTTGCTAGAGGCTTGCCGAAAGACTGATCGGTCATGGACTCTGCCATGTTGGAAACACAACCCTTGGATCTAGATTACCGTTATATCGGTTGATCCTCCTTTCATTTCTCGGTGTTAGGTGTGAGAGATATATTAGGTAATCTTGCCGAGATACCCTTTCAACCATTTGACCTAGTTGCATATAGTGAAGTTATAGTGACTATTCCAACTTAGGACAGGATGCCACCCATTTGTAGAATGTTGTGAAACTTGTTGTTTGAAATAGTGCAGCCTAGATCATGTCAAAAAAATCTAGGGCAAGGCAACCCTGCGCCCCTCATAGGGGTGTTTTGGTTCTTTTTCTTGGTATGTGCTTTTGACTATACAGGATGGTTCATGTCAGTTTGAGTTTGAGAACAGAGTTCAGTAGGGATTGTGGTTCTTCAGTTACGTTTTATCTGTTGTGAATTGGGCCGAAGTGCCATCCGATTTTGATCAATGGTTTTTCTTTTCTTTTGCTAGGTAGTTT